CTTTAGGCTCCTGTGAGAATCTGTAATGATCAGTCAGAGACACAAACAGCAGTTCATCGTATATGTTCTGTAAATAAGTACATCGAGCCCAGAGTGAAATTCAATATTGTCTGTGTTGAAGCGTGGAGGAAGAACATCATGTTTTCCGCCTGTGCCAGATTAAGCTATTAGCAGGCTGGGGCGTGTGCTATTAGTACATCATAATGTGAAAAATACAATCATGAAATGAAGATTAATCATTATGAAACAACAGAATTGCCATATTCATTTTAACAAGCCGTGTTAGATTACAGGCTATTATTGCACAGATCTGGTGTTGCCTCTCCGTGCTGCTAAGTTTGTTAAATGTATTCCACCTCCTCAGCAGAGCAGACATCACACCTCCAAGAGGAACATCTGTCAAAAGACAGAATCATACATATGGCAGAGTATGTTTATTTGAGGGAGATCTCACCCCACGCACATAGCAGCCTGAGAGGTTCTTAACACCACAGATAGGTCTGAGGTCTGATTATGTGCATTTGTGCAAATGAATCCCACTGCAACGTTTTAACTCTGCATGAAATCACAGCCTTGTCTAGAGTGAAGGGTACTGTGTAATTTCAGCTATGTGTGTTTTGGATACATTTTATAGTTTAAATATGTCAAAGACAGACTTTGAGTCTAGAACAGAGTTAGTTTTGAGTTTCTATTGAGTAAAACACAAACACTTTTTTCGCATTCGTGATAAGTATATTTCCCAAAATGTCACACTATTCCTTTTAACCGCTACATTAAAAGCCTGACGCTGTCCTGAGCAATTTATTTGGCTTGTCTGCTGAAAAATTATGAATTTGAAACCTGCATTAGAAAAAGAGTCACATGTGTTATCCTCCAACAGGTTCCCAGTGTAAAAGCACCTATCAAAGCCACTGTGATGTAATTTTTTTCATGCCACTTACAAAATGATAAGTGATCCACGACACTAAAAAATTATGTAACAGCCATTACAGCCACTTCACTTAAAGGGCTGTGTCTTCTTGCATTTAGCTGCAGTTGAGTTAGAATAAAGTTGACCAAAAGAAGTTCTCGGGTAAGATAAAAGCTAAATAGGGAAGCACCGATCCAACTTTTTTAGTCCCGATACCAACACGAATACCTGGGCTTTGGATATTGGCTGATGCTGAATACCCATTATGCTGAATTCCTCACTGTGTGGAAGAGACTAGGAATCATTATTTTATCTGTAAGGCAACATCAGGCTTGACTTAAACATTGCTTCCTAATTTTGTAAAACAAAATGCTATGTTAGGTCTCTTTCTACCAGCCCACTGCTGAAGCATTGCGTAGTACGTGCGAAATTGATTTGAGTAAAACTGGCTTATAAATCGGCCACCTTGTCACAGATACCATATCCAGCTATTTGAATCAGTATCGGACCAATATCAGTACTAGATCATCAAATCAGGTGCATCCCTAAAGCTAAGTAGTCTACTTCTGCGGACCCATGGATCATTGCCATCCAGTCTTGCATTTTCAATTCCACCAAACGAGAAGTGACAAAAGCCAGATGAAAATTAATGATAAAAAAATGTTACCAGCTTTTTTAATGGAATAACTAAAAACACACATCACATGTCATTTGTCAAATGGTATTTGTGTTACTTTTCATGTTGTGTTGAAAAGTTACCCCAATGTGTGCTGTCCCGCAGCATACGTACAAACTGATGTGTTCAAAAATGACTCTTCCTTTTTTAGAGGCCAATTTACTCATGTGGCTAACCTTAATTTGGAAAGTAAACAACAAATATTGAAAACTCTCAAATTCTTTTCACATGATGGGAGCCTGCCTTCTGTGCATTTACGCACAGAAGGCAGGCTCCCATATTGGCAAGCTCAGGCAGAATATTTTGATCACTCATCATCTTTGTTTCATATTCTTGACATTTTGATATAACCAGGAGAGAGACACAGGGTGCCACATTCCTGTGTGCAAATGCAGGGAAAAATGAGAACAACTTAATGCATGATTACGGCTTGTGCTGGCCTAAATTAATTGCTAATTGTTAATTTAAAAACTAGGTTGCAAGTGTTAACATTGGGTGGTGATGGAGCAGTGGATAAAACACATGCCTCTTGTGCGAGAGAACTGGGTTCATCCTCCAATGTGTTCATCCACTGTGACACATCCTCCAATGTGTCCCTGAGCAAGACACTTAACCCCTTGTTGCTCCAGAGGCGTGCGACCTCTGACATATAAATCAATTGTAAGTCGCTTTGGATAAAAGCGTCAGCTAAATGAGGTAATGTAAGATTACAATGCTTCTGACCTGTCAGCTTGAAAAATTAGTTAGCAATTTTAATTATTTTGAGTCTAGTCTTTTAGACTAGTATCAGTCAGTTAGATGCATCAACAGTGGCACACCTTCCTTTCTCCTCACTTCATTTGCCCTCTCACAGCCAACTTTAATTATCTGTGAGCAGAATCTCCTTCCCTTATTAATGCTTGCAAATTCTGCCCGAGTACAAGAATTGCCTTTGGCTGAGTCGGTGGGATTTTCACCTTAATATTTTCTGAACTAACTTTGCAGGGGATGCTCTGTGTGTGGACATCAACCACTGCAGCTGCTCTGTGAGCACAGTAGTGGATGGCATACTTGGGAGAGAGGGCTTTTTTAAAATAATGTGCCACAGGAAGACCATGGAACGGCGTAGTTCAAAGTGTTCATCAAAATTCACACTAGCTGAGCTCAGTTTGCAGTGTCGAAGCCAACCTGCTGAGCTGTGCTGGAGGAAATCTATAGAAACAAATTTACTCTGAGTATGTTGGTCTGAGCATGTGTAGAAGATAACAGGGTTCAATTACAAAACTCTTTCTCTTAATTTAAAATGCAGCTAATAGCTTAAGTGATTGCTCTTTGGGATAGCTAAAATACGGTGCAAGGGGCTGACTGGGTTGGGGCATTTGCAATATGCTTCTGACTGTGGAAAATCACTCTCTCTTGACACTCTCCACTGTGTGCCCTCCAATAAAAGTGAGCAGCCTTCTCATGTGTCAGGTGAGATTGAGCCCTAGACGCTATCACTGCACATCATGGGCTTCTTGTGCTACAACCTACACTTTTCACAATTCTGATGCAAGTGGCTAATGAACATGATACTGTTTTAGATCAAATAAAGTCTGAAACAGTTTGTTAAGTGTAACGCAAAATGCACCACTTGAACTTAAACATGCATAAAAATCTGGTAGTGGTTTTGAAAGTCCCCTGCTGTGCTGTGTTCTTACTTTGCATTGCAGTTTTTGGCACAAAATGTGAAACACACACACACACCACACACACACACACACACACACACACACATAGAAAAAAAATCCCATTACATTTTTAGCTACTCAGGCTGCTCCCTTGAGCTGTAGAGGGCAAGGAATAACAAAGCTGAGGGAAGTCTCGGCTCCTTACCTCTGATGGGCTATTAGTTATTCTAGCTAGCAGAAGCCCCATTAGGTCTGCCATTTAATGCTCCCATGCCACATTCTCACATGAAAGCTACAAGATTGATAAGCCGACCATCTCACCTCAAGCTTCCCTTGCGTTTGAGAAATGCTCCGCCACAGATAATCTGACAAAGCGCTGATTTAGCTACCTGTGTACCTCGTAGTGTGTGACATTACTGAAAACAATGAAACACATTTGTGCTAGCCTCTCCAGTGACTTTAGTAAAGGACACAGCAAGAATGTAAGTGGTGCTACAGTACATTCCACTGGCTTAAAACATTATATTATAAAATGATTTATAAAGTCCACGTGGAAAATAGGAAATGAGCTGTGTGGCAGTGTGAGATAAAACTTTGTCTCTGAGGGGCACTGACAGATTCAATGGAGAAAAAAGTTGTCTCCTGTACTCCTCAGCACGTCTGGTTAGTCTGTCAAAAGGTGCAGCTAAGATTCCAGTGACACAACATCTTTCCCAACACAACATGTCCTGTTAATCACACTTAACTATACTACCCACTCTGCTGAACAAAGGAAGACAGATGCATAGCATTAGGGGGGGCAAAGCAGTGCCCAATTACGCATGAGCAAATTGATTAGTCTTTTTGCCAAGGCGTTCTGTCTCAATCCCTCGGTGCCGTACAGTGGTTCAAAGTCAGTCATGTGAAAGAGTCCGGCTTTAGGATGAGAACTTCAATTTTAACTCTTTGGACAAAAATTCAGCTTGTGGAGCCAAATAGCCAACTAAAATGGCAAAATACAGTTTGTTACAGCAGCAGTAGACAAAAGCCAGAAAGAAATCGAGCCCAAATGGCTAATTAATCTTTTATATGGCTTCAGGCCTTTATAGTGTTCTCCAGCCTGCGGTGACTGTTTGTGAACTTTGTAAATTAAACTAATGAGTAAAATCTTAATTATGTGCTTGCTAGAGGCAGAAAAGGAGAATGGGATACATGATCAGCTGGTATGATTGTAAATATTTACATTTTTAATACAGAAAAAAACAAATATTAAAAATCACATAACTTGTGCATTTGCTACTGCAGCGGTTGTAGCAAACGCACAGGATAGGAAAGGACCACCTGCACAGTGACTTGATTTAACACATTTTTGCCATTCTGGACAGCAAGCCGTTTGTGAATAAATAACAGACTGGCTGATAATACATTCATCAATGAGCTATTTTATGTCAGGTATGAAAGATGAACCTACTTTGTGTATAATGCATTAATGGATCTGACTGTATATACGTTCTCCAGGGAGAGGAGCTGCCACTGCAGTTTCAGCTAATGGGAATCATATTTTAGCAATAAAACGGCATGATTCAGAACAACAGCAGGGTAGTCATATGGAAATGAACGAACCAGCATATTGCAAAACAAGTCACCATGCACTGACCGTTACTTCCTTATCCAAAAACAGACAAGAGCTGAGGAGAAAAAAAAAACATTTTCTCCGCAGATTGTTAGAAAATTTACCTCTCATGCCTCGCAGTGGAAATGGATTTTTGGAGGGCAACGGTCATACCTCGCATTCCCTGGAGCCTGAGATGGTGTATGTGTAAGGTCCAGTCCCATTAACCAGCACATCCATAGTCTCTGAGTGTGACGGCTTGTAGTCCACATAATACTCTTGCAGTGGTGAATTAAGGGAGCGCTCAGTCTCCCGTGCCTTTTTCTGCCGCTTTTTAACCGCTGAGCGCTGCTGAAGCTGTTTGATGCTGCTGGGATAGTGCTTCCATGAGACATAGATAACCAGTAGAATTATAGTCACAGATAAGAGGAGGGCCACGCTACCAGCTATGATCTTGTGGAAGGACACATACTCAGTGTCTGCCAAAGGGACTGTGGGGGAGGCCTCGGTAGGAGCAGGGGAGGCTGTCCTGTTCCAGATCAGCTTCTTATCCACCACAGACTGTGTGGGAACAGGCAGCCGCTCGGGCTGAAATGCAGAAGTGACGGGTGATGTTGTTGACGGGATAGGTGTCGGTGTTGCTGTACAGATGTTATAAGTCTCCACCACGTCTGTCACTTTCTCTCCCTGTGCCTCCTTGGGGCCAGCACAAATCATAGTGGACTCCTTGTTACCCTTAAAGGCCTTGAGCCAGGCCACCAGGGGACATAAATTAGGGTTACAGTACCACAGATTACCAGCCAGACTGATGGTGGTGAGGGAGATCCAAGCCTCCACTGTCTGCTGAGACACATTGCTGAGTTTGTTGGAGTCCAGGTTAAGAGTCTGCAGATTAGGGAGGCATTGAAATGTACTCGGGTCCAACAATTGCAGCTCATTTCCCGAGAGGTCCAGCTTTTGCAAGGAGGTCCACATCCACGGCAGGCCCTGGGTTAGCAGTTTGATACGGTTCCATTGCAAATAGAGCGCCCTCAGGTTAGTCAGGCGGGGGAAATGGCCAAAGTTTATCTTTGAGAACTGATTGTGTTCCAGATGAAGCTCAATGAGCTTGAGGAGTCCTGCAAAGGCATTACGCGTGAGGCTCCGTAGCCTGTTGTAGCCAATGTCGAGAAACTCCAGGTTGCGACAGTCAAGGAAAACTCGCATCGGGACAGTTTTTAATGAGTTTGACCTCAAGTGTAAACTGAGCAGTTTCCGTAGACCCACAAACTGATTAGGCTGGAGAATCTGCAGTTTATTGTAGGAAAGGTCAAGATTACGTAAATTCGGAACGTCGTGAAAAGTGTTGTTTTTTAGCTGTGTAATCTTATTCGAGCTGAGGATCAGTTCTTTGAGCCTCCGTATCCCATGGAAAGCCTGGCCATCCACAGCATTGATGTAATTGTGGTCGAGGTAGAGCCAAACCAGTTGACTCAGGCCTGCAAACTGGTGTGCTCTGAGGTTCGCCAGGCTGTTGTAACGCAGGGAGAGGCCCTGCGTGCCTACAGACACATTGTTCGGCACGTCACGGAAGGCATTGGATTCGCAGTATATTATTTTCCCATCACATCTACAGCTCTGGGGGCAGGGACGCTCACGGATGCCGCTTGGAGCAGCAAGCAGCAAGGCGGGCACCAGCAGTGTGACCAGGAGCCATCTCAAAAGCAGGAGAAGTCCTGCAGACACACAGAAAAGTGGTACATTTAAGAGCATAAACCATCAGAACCAATGTACACAGACCTCAATAGAATAAAACGGAATCAAGTAGAACAGAAATGAAATTGAATCAGGCAACTAAACATTATAACCCACCCCGTGCTCTGAGACATTTGTTAACAGAGGGGGTTATTTGCAGCCTTCTTAATTTGCATCCCTGTGTTCATGGCAAATCTACACCCACACACACACACACACACACTTACATTCATTATCACTGTCAAAGTCATGTTCTTCAGACAATGGAAAGATGATTGATAACCACATGCATCAGGCATAATCCCTCAAATAGTTCTGGAGAGAAGAACCTCCTTCAGATCACCCAAACTGCAGTCATCATTCACTAACCGCAGGGGGCAAAGACACCAGCAACATTAGCTTTAAGTGGACTGTAATTAGGCAAACGACTGAAGACTTTGAAAGGCAGACCATAAGTACCTTGTGTACATACCCATATTTGCGCGGTGTCGGCTCCTCCTCATGTTTAGGGCTCTGTGTTGCATGCGTCCCAGGTCCACATGTTAGACGCACTCGGCGTTCTGTCCAAATAGTTGGACACGCATCCAGGACGCCTGTCTGCACGGAAAATATACGCACTTGGCGCCGCAGCCAGATCCGCTGTGCGCACGGCCGCACACCTGTCGGAGATGTGAGTAGCTCCAGGAGGTGTGCATCCACCTATGTGTTAGTTTCTTAAGCTACTGCACAACATCACCTTGATAACGCATATTACAGACCGCCACCTTACAAAGCCCTTGGATGGACGCACTCAAGCTTTTAGCCTCGTGAGAATGACACTGTTTAGCGCGTGTTTTGAGATACTGTAAAATACATGTTAAACACCGAGTCGAAAATTGTTAAATCTAGGTTAAGTGGCAGAAAAGACACAGAAAACCGACCAAGAGGAAAAAAACTGTTCCAAACCCGACAAGACATGTATCCTGATTCAGATGTGGACAGCGGACGGAAAAGGCGCAGTCTGCTGTGGATTTGACCGGCTGACCGTGGCATCAAGAATAAATCAGTTGTATAGCAACAGGAATGATGTTGGTGAAGGATTGTACTGAGCTCGCTGGTGCTCGTTTCAGGACTTGAGATGCCCTCTGCTGGTCGCTGAGTGACTCTCAGCAGCCAACAACAGGGCAGACTTCATTGTCTTCATGAACAGAGCCTGCATATCAATTAAAGCACAGGAATGGGAAGTCTGTCAGCTCTGCATTTAGATATTTGTGAAGATGTAGGCTACTGCTTGTCAAACGCTTCTGAAAGCCTGTGTTTAATCATTTTAGATCAATCTCAAGCAGACTTAAATACAAAAACATGAGAAATGACTGTGGAGCTGAGAAAGGTTTGTAACTTTTATGATCCTAATTTTGATCACAGACACTCATGACCATAACCAAGCAATACATGGTATTTTTAATCTATAAAAATGCATCATTTTTTAGAAGTCCATTATGTTTTATAAAATATTAATCTGCAATTAACTACAATGTCAAATACATAGAGCTGACTAAAATGCATAATATTTTTTCTCTACACGTAGTGGAATAGAAGTATTGCCAGAAAATGGCTATAATCAAAGTACAAGTTGTTACTCAAAAATGATTACATTACTTGAGTGAATGTACTTCTATTCCAGTTAAGCATTTATTTGGTGTTGTGGTGCCACCTGCCTATAGTTTAATGCATTAATTGATATTTTATGTCACATATTTACCTGATACTGTGTCAGCTATATAGCCTCTGCTATTTCTGATTACACTGCTTGTCTGCAAAGTCGCAGTGTCAGCAGGAGCTGTAATTACTAGTCCCCTCACTAACTTCAGAAGCCCCCAAGTGGTTTACTCTGGATCTGGGCCTGTATCTGAGGAAGTATTTGCAAACTCTCAGATGTTAATATGATTCTTAACTAGTGCTTCATAGACAAGCAAAGAAAACAATATGCATTGTCCTCTACAGGTGTCTGTAGGATCCAGATGTTACTCATTTCCAATTCTTAATCTACATTTTGCTCTTTTTCATATTTTCTGACTTAAGGTATTTACAATAATCACATTGTTTGAAATTTTAACCAAAAATAGTAAGATGGCATTCAAAAACACCTTTGACTGGCAGTGTAGGTTCAGCAGCGTACAGAGGAAAACAACAGATGGCTTGCAAAGTATGTATATTTTTATCTCAATTATTTGGTTTTAAATTTTATTTTTTAATCTATGTCAAGACAAAAAGTTAAGAAAGCTCAATGGTTATTTTTTCACTACTTGTTGTTGCATATTAACCCTGAAAAGCATCATGCGTAAACAAAGGGCGCTCTTAAAGCCCCATAATGGGAGTCATGGGTCAAAGTCTTCACTTCTAATGGTCCCTCTGCCTCTGTTCTTAATGAGTAGCATAATTACCGGTGAAGGACATTAATGAACATTTGACCTCAAATTGCAGATAGTTTGTGACAAAGAAATCAGTGGAAACAAAACTGATGCATCTGGCACTTCAGCGGCAGTCACTGTTTTAATGTCCATTGTTAGATCAATCAGCTAACTGGAGTTGGGGGCAGGGACCTACACACACTCTGTGATACACACATCAAGGTGATTGGAAAAATGGCAAATACACTGTGCACAGCTTTAAATGCAGCATATGCTTCAGTGTATTACTGTGTCTGATGATGCTCCCAAACCAAGCATGGATGACATGCACTGAGTTTAATTTATCCATTAAGTCTTTGTTACACTCAAGTGTGATTTAATATGGGAAACAAGATAGAAATAAAAGAGAAATATGAAACACATTGATTAGACTAAAAGGTAGACATGTCACAGAGCATAGCGGAATGTTTTGTGCAGCAAATTTTCAAAATGGACTACTTCTTATCTATGGTAGCATTTGTGAAAAGTAGTTATATTTTATATTACAAATAGTTTGTCACTGTAAGAGGACTGGAAAAAAAGTGTTTTTTGTTATTTAGGTTTCTTTTTTTTTTTATTACAAAATGATCTCTGTATGTACTTCTTGTATTTAAAGAGGTGGTATTATGCTCATTTTCAGGTTATAAATCTTATTTAGGGGTTGTACCAGAACAGGTTTACATGGTTTAATTTAAAAAAAAAAACACCATATTTTTTGTCATACTGCACATTGCTGCAGCTCCTCTTTTCACCCTGTGTTGAACGCTTTGTTTTAGCTATGGAGTGATGCATCTTACCGCTACATGATCTTTGTTGGGAGTTGCACATGCACAGTTCCTAGTTAAGGACTACTAGCCAATCAGAAACAGAGAAGGGGGGTGGGGGGCAGTGAACCGCTTCGATTCAGCTGTAGGCTACAGGTTTCCGACCAGCTTGGCAACATAGACTGGAGCAAAAGATTCAGAGTGGTGAGTTATAAATCTGTACCAAAAGTTTTTTTCATCCATAAAGTTTTAACTGAGCTCTGTCTCTACATCACAGGAACAACTTCATGTCCATTGACTGCCTGGAGGGTAGCTAGTGTTTGGAAGGGAGAGGAGAGGTGTGTGCTGCAGCTCAGCGTTTTTCCACCAGAGTTTTTGAGGGCGTGTTGGAGTAGCCGCTTGGCGAGCGTTATATGAGGCGCATTTTCTTCCATCCCTGTGACGTCACAGGCATGAAAGGGAAACGGCTGGACTACAAACAAGCTGTTTTCAGGCAGTTCAGAGCAGAGTTTTCTGTGGGAGATGGGAACTGGACTTTGGGCTTTTTCACTTTGCAAACCATTTACATGCACAAAAAAGATATATAACTCAATAAAGGAGAGAGAAAAAGGCAAAAAGCATAATACCACCTCTTTAAGCAATTTCAATGTCTGATTTCTGATATCAACTTATTATATAAATTTAATTCTTAAACCTTAGTTTGCTTCTCCAGTGCTTTACACATACAGTAAGTACCCATATGCTTTGGCGTAAAATTATGAGACTCGTGTCATCTGCAAGAATTATTTTGCTAGAAGCAGTTGAAGGATCATTAACAGGATAAGTTAGAAAGAACAACGGCCCAAGAATGGTGCCTTGGGATACCTCCCACTACCACTGCGTTAAAAGCTTTTAAGAGATCAATAAGTTGTTCTTCATCAAAGGATGTGAATAAGGATGTGGAAATGTTTCTACCTTTTCAGATTGTTCAGGGAGGGTGCACTGAATGAACTCTAAATGCCATAAAGGAGTATGTGGTTTATGACACTGTGCCCTAGTGTTATCGTTCGCAAACATGTTTTTCAAAGCAACAAATCTTTTGGATGAACGAATAGAATCACTACATGAAACGAAACGCTCATTTCTCAGAGAGTTCAGTTGAGCTCTCAGTCAGCGAACAAGTGACTGATACAAGTCATTCTTTTGCAGGAGGAATGGGATACGTTCAAGACATACACAGCTGATTCAGGCTGCAAAAACATAGCCGTGGTGATTTAACAAGATAAATTCTCATCTCACTAGCTTATCCTTCACGAATGACCGTTCTCAGTTAACTAGTTAGAGCTGAATTGAATGTTCGGCCATGTCTTAGCTCAGTGTGTGGGGACTGGGCAGTTGGAATTCAGTCAAGCACTAAATGATTCGGTGAACAAATCTTATAAACAAATCCTTTTAATTAACTGATTTTAATGATTCAGTACAATGATCTAAACTGCTTCGCCCTTCTCTACTGTTGCCCTGTTATCTAGTAGGTCCCAACTATACACTATAAAACCCCACACTAGAAGAATTCAAGACACTTATATTTGTTTTTTTTACAGTTAATTTCTGTAATTTATTGAAAAAGTGATTCACATACAGGTTAACCAAGAAATGTCATAATCTCACATGGTCTCACCATCTTGTTGCTGATATTAAATTGGGTCAGATATACTTGACCACATAGAATTTGGATTATTGTGTTAAACAATTACTTTTAAATCAAAAAAGCAGAGACTGTCCTCCCAAAAAATATCGCCGTATAGGTGGTTTGTGCAAGGATCTTATTACAATCAATATTATGTTTATGCAGCAACCTCAAGAGAAGTAGAAACAACACGTCCTCATTACTAAATATAAGAATAGGTAGTTTGCCAATATCTCCCAAAACAACATATGATCATTGCAGAGTACCCGCACCAGGCATCCTCGGTGTAAGTCGGTGTTGACTTTTGGTTTCACAAAGGACACAAACAAAGGTCTCTTAGGTGAAAGTCAATGTTTGGGTTAGGGTTGGGGGTAAGATTTAATTTCAGTCTCTGAAATGCAATTTCAAATTTAGCATACAATATTCAGTTTGAACATTTCAAATTCAAAACTATTAAATTCAGATTCAATTTGTGCTGGCACTAAAATAACTCCATCCGTTTGGCTGTCCCTGTGGTCTCAGGGAAGGTTCATAGAGGGGTTTGTAGAGGTGTAGAGGCTGGATGCTGCACACTGCTGTCAAGCATAAACTTCATCATTGATAAAATACCTATTCTATTGTTTAGGTGTGAGGACGTGTTGAAAATGATGTTGAAAATCTGTGGTATATTTATTTTTGAAATCAAGTTGGTTATCATTTGTAAGAATATGGGCTACTGTACCATTCAAGCCTGTCCGTCATGAGTTTGATACCCGTGGTCCATTTTCTCTTTATCCACAAACTATCTATAATATAATATCTAATCTATAAATGACATATGGAAATTAATAGCCACAGACTTATCTAATCCCAACACATCGAAGTTGTGATTTTTAAGTGTGCAATAATCTTCTTCTTCCTTTAAATCCCCTGTGTTCTGTGCATCTATCCTCATTTATGTTTATGTCTGACATGACCCACTTTCACATTTCATCTGGCTTTTTTGGTATACGTTATAACTGGTAAATGCATGCTTCACTAATTATATTTCACAGTATATCAACATTGGAAGAAACGTCACAACTTTAACTTCAAAACTCTACTCTTTTGATCTTATGGATCAAAAGATGGATCTTATGGATCTTATACGCTGGGAAATGACTACTTGCCCAAACATACTTCAAATGAAATAATTTGTGTTTTAGATTCTGTGACCCGCTGACTCCTTAATTATGATCATGTGTAGTTCCTGATAATGTTGAAGTAAAAATGAACCCATTGAAAGAACAGAATGGCACTCTCTTGACTTGAAAAGCATGGAAACCTGAGCCATAAACAAAGGTATAGTACCACCATATGCACTCACCTCACTTTGCAAATAACTCAGCCACCAAATTGCTTCCTATGAAACTTTAATGACTGTCTGTAACTGACTGAGCCCTGAATAATAGAGCAAGGGAAGGACCTGCTTTTTTGCAGTATAATGAAT